TATGATCTGAAATCACAAAATTAGAAATCATGTAAAAATCATATAATCATGTTTACCTAAATTATTGTACAACGAAATAATAAAATACTATAAAGTTATTAAAAAAAAAAAAAAGAAAAAGTGGAAGAGAAACCAGAGTGCGTGCTCTCTCTCTGGACATAAACACAGAGAAAAGGTCATGTGATAACAGATGGGAGGTGCCATCTGAAAGCTGAAAAGAGAGGTCTCACCAGAAACCAACCATGTTGGCAGCATAGTCTTAGATGGGCAGGACCTATAACTGCAATAAAGTAAATGTGTGTTGCTTAAGCTACCCATTCAGTAGTATTTTGTTATGGTAACCTGAGCAGACTAATAAACTATGTAATTTCTATGACTATTTTTTGCTTCTTTTTTAAATCATTCTAGTCTAATTTGACATTGTCCTGTGTTTTCTACATGATGTTTTGATCCCTTTTTATTGTTATTTCTATTCTTTGTGTGAAAATGTTATGATTCTTTTATCATTTCACTTTCTCTCATAATGGTTCATTTCTTTGTATACTTTATTGCTATGAGTTTATCTTGTGAAGATTTTGTTTTGGTTTTGGTTTTGGTTTAGGAAACCTGCATTCCTTGGGTTAGGAAGCACTCATTCTGGGAGGCTTCACTGTCCTTCCTGCTTTCTCTCTAGGCAGTATAAGTCTGTTGTAAATTTGGATCCCACACAGGAAGTGGACTAACCCGAGGGTTCTATTTTATTTCTTCATTTTTGCCTGTTTATATTTTCATGGCCAAAGGAAATTGACAGATATTTTTCTTTTAATTTTCCTAGTTCTCCTTTTATGAATTAGGTAGGCCTTTGTAATGATCTACTTAATGTAAATAGATTGAGTTTAAAATCCTACAGGTTTATGAATAGATTTCTATTTTGTCAATTTATATTTGGCCAAAGGAAATTAACAGGTATTTTTCTTTTAATTTTCCTAGTTCTTCTTTTATGAATAACATAGTTGTTCATAATTACCTACTGAATGTAAATAGATCGAGTTCATAATCCTACAGGTTTATGACATAGATTTCCTCCTCATTAGAGATTTAGGATGAAATCCCTAAGGTCTGTATCTGACTCTGACTAGATATAGAGGAACAATCTTCTAACTAAAGATTGTTTCTCATGTAATGCTTCTTAATGTCCAAAATGTGGAGAAAAATTTTAAGACACATTAAAATAGCCTTTATGTCTGTATCTCTGACCAGATAGAGACCTTAGGGATTTCATCCTAAATCCCTAATGAGGAGGAAATCTATTTCATAAACACAGAGCCATTGACTCCATTGAGCTGTTTTTGCTTCAGCATTGACTCATGGCATTAGTGAGATTCTGTTCAGTTTCTGAAAATTGTGGATTTCTAAGTATTTATTAGGGAGTAGAGTCCTCCATGTTAGTCCAATGTCCCTTATAGTGTAGAAATCTATTTAATCTCTTTAGGTCTATGTTTATAGATCTGGAAAATGGAGATAAGAACCCCTAATGTACTGGATGTTCATGAAAGCAGTTTATATTAACATATATTAACGACTTAGCATATTTCCTGATGAATCATAAATATCCAGTAAATATGGATCATTAATATAATTCTAAAAAACATCTGTTTAAATTGTGACATATGAAGCTATCAAAACTCAGCATTTGAAGCAATTTGAAATTATTCACATTTTATATTTTTTCTAACAAAAGATTGTTTCTCATGTAATGTTTCTTAACATCCAAAATGTGGAGAAAAATTCTGAGACACATTAAAATCACCTTTATGTTATTTGCTTTTGCCTAATTTTCACATGTTGAATTTCCTGCAAGTGGCATTATGTTTTGGGCTACTGTCTGAGCTTTGCAATTTTGTACAAAGATTTCATTCAAAAAAGGGCTACAGTGTTCTATTCTGCTGGAAGCATTTTTCAGTAAATGTATTTTTAATTTTTCTTATACAACATTGATATCTAATGAATGGATTTTCAAATATTATAACTACAAGAGAGAGGCAGTTAGGTCTGAGGGCAAAGAACTTGTAATTTAGAACTTCCGATAGTTTTTGATAAGCCAGTTTAAGGTATCTGTAAATCTATGTATATATTATATTAGTTTTATTGATTAAAATCATTATAAATTATTTGAAGGATGAACACAGAGTCTTTGCTCTTAGAGGAATTAGAGAACGAAAGGAAGAAAGAACAGTGAAGAGAGAGAGGGAAAGAGAGAAAAGGTGAATCCATTGAGTTAAATTAGTAAATAATTAAGAGTGGTTAAAACAACAATGTTCACACATTTTTAATTTAAGACTGTTCGATCCTTTTAAAATTCATTTGAATCCGCAATTATTTAAACTGTGAGCTGTGCACTGAAGAGAGAGTAAAACTATAGATTTTAAGATTGTAGCTGGAGGTAATATATAAATCCAATTGATCAGTCTGGCAGAGAATTGATGCCACAATTTGTACCCAGTGGCATTTTTTCTCTCTCTTACTCAACTGGCTTTAGAACATTATCAGAAAGTCAATATGATACGCCAATATAGTGATATACGTTCAGTCATAAGTCCCTTGTTCAGATTAAAACTTAGGCACTCACATTGTGGATAATAATGGACAGACAGCCTGACTCCATGTAACTCTGTGTCTCTCAGAGAGAACTTGACTAACTTTACTGCAGGTTACCATACAGTTTTTAGTGTTCCCAAGAGACAGTCAAACCAGTAGCAAAGGACGTCTGTCTCTTCAGGACAAAAAAAAAATAGAGGGAAAGGATAATATATACCCAGAGCTGCAGTCTCACTGCAGAGCATTCTCTGGCAGCTTCCTGTCTCCAGCGGCCTTTCCTGATGTTCTGATCAAGTTACCTTTAAAATTCACTCTTGATTTCATGTTTTGATTCTCTTTCTCTTTTAATTTATTAATGCGTTTACTACCTCAGCATTATCTTTACAGCTCATTCCCTTCCAAGCTTGCTCATTCCCATAAAACTATTGAGAAAGTTTTACTGTCTTTCAATTCCTTGTATTGTAATTTAATTCGGAAGGTTATTTTATGTCACAAAGGTTTTTATTCTCTTAACAGTGCAAAGCTCTGTGAGAGGATCCCTGTACCATGTATTTTATCTTCAGCAAATATATTCAACTTTGTGGCCTGTTTCAGGCAGAGTATTTAACTAATGTTCAGTACTATTATCAGAAGTTGCGATTTCATAAACTGTTATGCAGTACATTTATCACAGCTCCCATGTCAGCTTGGTTAAGGCGACATTCTACAGCATGCGCTGCTTATCAGGTCTACAATGAAGATGGCAATTATTTCTGCAATCAATTGTTGAGGCACAACTAGTCCAGATATTTATCTGTAATCATTCATTTAGGATTTCTTTAATTTTGGACATTAGACAGGCAACATAATGCTTAATTATAGAATAAAAATTTTATTCAGTTTACTGTGTAGTTAAGTTTTGCATAGTGACTCATTTGTACATTTCATTTTAAAACGCGCTGAATGCCTTTTATGTAATCAGGCTCTTGCACTGTGTGCTAGAATGCAGCTGGGGAATGAAGACACATGGGATGTATGCCCACGTGTGGAAAACACTTAGTTCGCAAACATAAATAAATGAAGATGAATGTTGTGGAGAATGGTAAGTGGGGATAAATGTATGGACTGGGATAGGGTAGAAAACAGAGTGGTCATGAAAGACATCCCTGAAAAAGTGATATTTGAGTGGAGACACGAAGGAAGTAAAGATGTGAACTGTGTGGACATGTGGGAAAATGGCATTCCAGACAGAAAGAAAACCATCTACAAGTGCAGGTTCAAGGAAGAGCAGGGAAACTCGTGCATCAGGAACAGAGGGGAAAGACGGGTGCATCTTTAGGTTCGACTCACCTGAGCTGTGGATTCTTGTGCAGATGATTTATTAAGAAGCTGATAAGGAGGAGGGGGAAGCAGAAAACCTAAACAAAAGTGCAAGTTCAGGTGAAATCAACGCCTCATCCTAATTCTTTGGGTGTTCTGTAATATAAATTCCATTGCAAAGTCTGTACCGCTTTAAGGTAAGAGAGCTGGGCTTTCACACTTCTGCAGGAGTCAGGCGCTGGCACTTCTGAACACAAGGTAGTCCTCTGAAGAAGGTCCTACGTGCAAAGAACACAGAAGCTGTGAGAATGGGTACGTAGAACCCGAAATAATTTCCCAGGAGATAAGAGAGAACAGGAAATGAGAATACCAGTGCTCATTAATATTCAGCCTCCCTTGCATTTAGATTTTAGATGTAGCCAATATAATTTATGTTGTAAGTAGATTCCTTTGGTTGCAATGAAAATAAAAGACCACAGGAGGATAAGTGATAAATCAACCAGACCAGTTAGGATGCTATTGCAATATTCTTGGAAAGGAAAACTGGTAAGACTAGAACGGTGAGATGTGAAAACAGAGCTAGCCTTTTCGCAACAGGTTGCTGGCAGAGGGCAAGTGTCTTGAAAACTACCTCTAAAGATGCTGCCTCGCGCCACTGTAGTGGCTTCTCCCTCCGCCTTTCTCTTCCTTCGCTGTCGCCTCCCAACTCTCGTCAGCCTCCGGCCCGCCGTCTCCTTAACACCAAACACCATGCCTTCAATTAAGTTGCAGAATTCTGGTGGAGAGATATTTGAAGATGATGTGGGAATTGTCAAGCAATCTGTGACTGTCAAGACCACGTTGGAAGATTTGGGAATGCATGATGAAGGAGATGATGACCCGGTTCCTCTGCCAAATGCTAATGCAGCAATATTTTAAAAAGTCATTCAGTGGCGCACCCACCACAAGGATGACCCTCCTCCTCCCGAAGATGATGAGGACAAAGAAAAGCGAACAGACGATATCCCTGTATGTGACCAAGAATTCCTGAAAGTTGACCAAGGAACACTTTTTGAACTCATTCTAGCTGCAAACTACTTAGACGTCAAAGGTTTGCTTGATGTTACTTGCAAGAGTGTTGCCAATATGGTCAAGAGGAAAACTCCTGAGGAGATTCGCAAGACCTTCAATATCAAAAATGACCTTACTGGGCCCGGTGCCGTGGCTCAAGCCTGTAATCCCAGCACTTTGGGAGGCCAAGGCGGGTGGATCACGAGGTCAAGAGATCTAGACTATCCTGGCTAACACGGTGAAACTCCGTCTCTACTAAAAAAATACAAAAAAACTAGCCGGGCGAGGTGGCGGGCGCCTGTAGTCCCAGCTACTCCGGAGGCTGAGGCAGGAGAATGGCGTGAACCCGGGAGGCGGAGCTTGCACTGAGCTGAGATCCGGCCACTGCACTCCAGCCTGGGCGACAGAGCAAGACTCCGTCAAAAAAAAAAAAAAGAAAAAAAAAAGAAAAATTACTTTACTGAAGAGGAGGGAGCCCAGGTACGCAAAGAGAACCAGCGATGTGAAGAGAAGTGTAATGTTATGCCTGACTCTGTATCACTGTAAGGATTGTTCCAAATACTAGTTGCCCTGCTCTGTTGATAATTATTAATATTAGACAAACAGTAGACAAATGCAGCCGCAAGTCAATTGTATTAGCAGAATATTGTCCTCATTGCATGTGTAGTTTGAGTACAGATTCCAAACCTATGGCTGAGTTTCTTCCAGTACGATCAAAAGTTTCTTTTTCCTTGGCTCTGAATAAAACTGAACCGTAGGTTCTCTATAGGTGGAATTTTGGCCTTTCCCTCTTTTTTTGTAAAGCAATGTCTGCCTAGTTTATTGTCCAGTTAGCTTAGTGACATTTTAAAAGTTGGCACTATAAATAAATCAACTTGCAAAAAAAATTTCTGTACTAGAATTAACAAAATGTTATCTTTATTCGTGTATTGAAAACTGGAAAAAGGCTTCTTGAAGTAAATGTTCTGAGTGGAGTTACTAGAATGTCTTCCAGCGTCCTGCAGGCAAGGAGTACCACTGTACTGATTAACCTGTTTGTAGGAGGGCTCCCTTCATTGCATCTGAGGACTTAGTTTCTTTTTCTTTAATTTTATTTTGAATCCTCTTAGCTTTCAATATATTGCCTAGAGACTCAGTTACTACCCAGTTTACTGGTTTTTGGGAGAAATGTAACTGGACAGTTTGTTAGCTTTTCAATTAAAAAGACAGTTAACCCATGGGAAAAAAAAAGAGAGAGAGAGGAGAGAAAACTACCTCTAAAAGCCAAAATGGGAAAGGAAAAGACTAATATCAACGTTGTCATAATTGCACACTTAGGTTCAGGCAAGTCCACCACTTCTGGCCATCTGATCTACAAATACATTGGCGTCGACAAAAGAACCATTCAAAAATTTGAGAAGGAGGCTGCTGAGATGGGAAAGTGCTCCTTCAAGTAGGCCTGGGTCTTAGATAAACTGAAAGTGGAACGTGAACGTGGTATCACCATTGGTATCTCCCTGTAGAAATTTGAGACCAGTAAGTACTACACGAGTATCACTGATGGCCCAGAACACAGAGACGTCATCAAAAACATGATTATGGGGACATCTCAGGCTGACTGTGCTGTCCTGATTGTTGCTGCAGGTGTTGGTGAATTTGAAGCCGGTATCTCCAAGAAGGACAGACCGAGGAGCATGCCCTTCTAGCTTACACACTGGGGGTGAAACAACTCATTGTTAGTGTTAACAAAATGGATTCCACTGAGCCACCCTACAGCCAGAAGAGATATGAGGAAATCGTTAAGGAAGTCAGCATTTAATGTTATGAAAATTGGCTGCAACCTTGACACAGTAGCATTTGTGCCAATTTCTGGCTGGAATGGTAACAACATGCTGGAGCCAAGTGCTAGCATCCCTTGGTTCAGGGGATGGAAAACCGCCCATAAGGATGGCAATACCAGTGGAACCATGCTGCTCGGTGCTCTGAACTGCATCCTACCACCAACTCATCGAACTACCAAGCCCCTTCGCCTGCCTGTCCAGGATGTCTACAAAAAGTGGTGGTATTGATACTGTTTCTGTTGGCTGAGTGGAGACTGTGTTCTCAAACCCAGTATGGTGCTCCAGTCAATGTGACAACTGAAGTAGTCTGTTGAAATACACCATGAAGCTCTGAGTGAAGCTCTTCCTGGGGACATTGTGAGCTTCAATGTCAAGAATGTGTCTGTCAAGAATGTTCGTCATGGCAACGATGCTGGTGACAGCAAAAATGACCCACCAAAGGAAGCAGCTGGCTTCGCTGCTCAGGTGATTATCCTGAACCATCCAGGCCAAATAAGTGCTGGCTATGCCCCTGTATTGGATTGCCACACGGCTCACACTGCATGCAAGTTTGCTGAGCTGAAGGAAAAGATTGATCGCCGTTCTGGTGAAAAGCTGGAAGATGGCCCTAAATTCTTGAAGTCTGGTGATGCTGCCATAGTTTATATGGTTCCTGGCAAGCCCACGTGTGTAGAGAGCTTCTCAGACTATCCACCTCTGGGTCACTTTGCTGTTGGTCATATGAGACAGACAATTGCCGTGGGTATCATGAAAGCAGTGGACAAGAAGGCTGCTGGAGCTGGCAAGGTCACCAAGTCTGCCCAGAAAGCTCAGAAGGCTAGTGAATATTATCCCTAGTACCTGCCACCCCAGTTTTAATCAGTGGTGAAAGAACTATTTCAGAACTTTTTTGTTTCCATTGGCCATTTAAGTTTAATAGTAAAAGAATGGTTAATGATTACAATGCATCGTAAAACCTTCAGAAGGAGAGCAGAATGTTTTGTGGACCACATGTGTATGCGTGTGTGTGTGTGTGTGTGTGGCAGTTTTAAGTTATTAGTTTTTAAAATCAATACTATTTTTTTTTTTTTTTTTGAGACAGAGTCTCACTCTGTTGCCCAGGCTGTAGTGTAACAGCGTGATCTCAGTTCACTGCAACCTCCACCTCCCAGGTTCAAGGTGATTCTCCTACCTCAGCCTCCTGAGTAGCTGGGATTACAGGTACCTGCTGTCATGCCCAGCTAATTTTTGTATTTTTGTAGAGATGGGGTTTCATCATGTTGCCAAGGCTGATCTTGAACTCCTGACCTCAGGTGATCTGCCCACCTCGGCCTCCCAAATTGCCAGGATTACAGGCATGAGCCACCATGCCCAGCCTAAAATCAGTACTTTTTTAATGGAAACAACTTGACCAAAAATCTGTCACAGAATTTTGAGACCCATTAGAACAAAGTTTAATGAGAAAAAAAAAAGAAATCAGAACTAATAAGATTTGCTTATGGACTTCAAAATTAATTCTCTATTTTTAATCAGTCTGCTTCTTTCTCTCTCTCTCTCTCTCTCTCTTTCTCTCTCTCTCTCCTCTGACTCCCTCTCTCACCGTATTTCTACTAATCCTTTCTTGGTATAAAGGGTAATTGTTCAAATTAGGTCAATTTTTACTATTATCTGTCTGTAGTATCTCAACACTCATATTTTATTTGAGAAGTTATTAACTATTTGAAAGATACTGATTGCCTGTAATGCATTCAGCTATCTGCTTACTACCAAATATTATCTTTACTCTTACTTGTCCCAGTTTACTCTTGATTTCTTTCTTATCCCTCCCTTTGCTGTTAATATTTTCTACATATGCCAAGATGGTGAAATTTTTAAATGTTTCTTCTTTCTAAGGAAAATTGACTTCTGTCTTGGGTCCAAACAAACAAACAAAAAAATACCTTCTTCAGTAATTAAGTGTTCACTACAGTCCAATACAAGAGAGAGAACAATTACTTAAACAAGAAAATATATGCCTACATCAACATATAAACAGAATAAATAGGAAAATAGATGGTAAATATTTATTCTGCTCATCTATATCAAGAATAATCAAAATAATCATTATCATTATGATTTCTGTTGAGTCTCTAATGAAGCAATGAACTGTCTTTCATTGCCTTAATGTAAATGTTTTAATTATCTTATCAGAATAGTAGAAGATAAATCTTCTTTAATTTGGTTTTCCATTTTTCCACTTTGATTGCCTATTAGAAAATAAATCTGAAGATAAAATACGTGTATACATGTGAGATCACTACCCATTAAGCCTGCAGCAGACGACGTCTGACTTTTAGCCACGAATATTCTGTGCAAAATTCTCAATGTTTCAGATTTCTTACTTATGGAATATTAAATATCACAGTTTACCTTTATAAATTGTCTTAAAAGAACAATCGGTAGTTGGAACGGGTTGCAAGAAACAAGAAAGTAACTTTTTCAACCCCCAAAGCACACCTGATACTATAACCATCTTTTTTCAGAAATTTGCAGCACTATTGTGTAAGATTTGCTGAGTCTCTCTAAACATCTCTATCTCTTTATCTCCTCACCTTTAAAGATGTTTACAGTGGCAAAAACATTAAGGAGAGTTCTTATTCCTAAAAATTATCCAGTTTTTCACCATTATAAAACTACTATTTCCTCCTTTCAAAATGCATTAAAATTATTAAAAGTTATTGCGATTTTAAGAAACTATCTCTCCCCATCCCAAATCCAAAGTCAATTACATATAGTGCAAGGGTGTGTATTAGATTGCTTTGAGTTACACCAACATTTAAATTCACTTCTCAAAAACATTTTAGTCCTATTATCTTCATTTTATACTTAGAAATGTACTGTGTTGAATAAATAATATTTGGTAATAAAACACATCTACTTTCATACATCTAAATAAACAAGGAGTTTGGCATAAGAATTAAAGAGTTTAAAATACACATATATTTCTATGTTTGTACATAAGTACTTAATGAGGATCTTCTCTAATAATTGCTTAACAGAAATATAGTTCCTCTATACTAGGAAAAATGTTACCTTATTGGAGATGTGTCTTCTTGTCTACCTCAATGCATTTAAGAGTAGAACTATGTATGCCGAGTTGAGTTGATATCTCAAATGGAAACAAAATGAAAAAGAAACAGTGTTTTAGTATAGTGTAGAAATATGTAAATTTCTTTTTCTGAAAAAGGAACAACTAAAACAGAAACAGAAAACCAAATACCGCGTATTTTTACTTATAAGTGGAAGCGAAATGATGAGAACATATGGACACAGAGAGGGGAACTACACATAGTAGGGCCTTTCAGAAAGTGGAAGGTGGGAGGAGGGAGAATTAGGAAAAATAACTAATGTCTACTAGTTATTAGATAGAACGTATCTCTCAAAAGGCAGAGTGAAAAAAGAGGTAGAGTGGCTTAACTCACAGCTGTGTTATCCTTACATGTGGTTCCATTATACATTATAGAGGCCTTAAACGTTACATACAAATTTCCTGTTTGCTATGTGCCTCCCCTACCAAAGTATGAAGGACTTGAAATCCAAAATTTATTTTCATATGTGTTTTCCAATACATAATATAGTCACTAGTGCATAGTTGACACTCAACTAATATTTGTTAACTGAATAATAACATTCTAAAGAAAATAGCCTAAAAGACAAAAGAAAATCTAGCAAATAACATATAATAAAAAATTTATTATCAATATGGTAATAAATATTTTCTTAAAAAGAAGGACATATGTGAAATACAGCATCACTGAGAGAAAAGAAGCTTCGAGGTCACTAAAAAATGTGTTGTCAGTTTCTCTTAAGAAAAGCAAAAATAGCTTACTACTGGTAAATATTTTGTAGTTTTCTACAGTTAATTTATGTTTTAGTTTTGCCACTGGGATCAATTTATTCTCCAGAGTTAATGATTAAGTAAATTTCAGAAGATTTAGAATATTGCTACTACTAGAATTTTTCCTTTATGTTTGACATAAAGAAAAGGGCATTGCCCTCAGAATGCAACTGATACTTTTGATAGTACCAGTGGTCTAGTTTTATCTCCTGTTATTCTACTTCTTTATCTGCGTGCTGTCATATACAAATAAAGTTTCTAGGGCCAGGGACACAGACTTGAAAAACTTGGATGGGGAGAGTAGTCAAAATAGTTTGAAGGATGAAGTGCATTCTTAATAGTGCAAGTTGAGATGGCTCCATAGTTTCATACATTGGGGCCAACATAATAGTAGCTGAAATCTGTACAACTATTGAAGAAAAAGAAATGACATGTAGTACCAAAATAAGGACGGTTTTATTCTTCAATGAGAATGAGAGTGCAGAAAAAAAAAAATGAATCCCCTTTGGAGATAAACCTTGTGTAACAAATACATATGTGATGGTTTGACTGTATTTTAGTTTGAGTTCCCCTGAAAGCAGAGTCTGATTTATTTCCAGATAGCATTTAGAAGGTAACAGTAAAGAGCAGGAGCGAGAGTCAAAAGAGAGATGAGAATAAAGGAAGGAAGAAAAGCTCATCAAGTTGACCAGTGTGGACAATTGTTGATTGAGCTCAGTCTAAGAAGAATATAGCATGCCTTTTAGAATTGTCCACCCAAAGGACAGGAGGCAGAGCTCAAGTTCAGCACTGGTTGAGGGCCATCCCATCAATTCCCCCACACTTATAAGCTATTGAAGTGTGTGTAAAAAGACTTCAGTGCAGAAAGCTAAGATGCCAAAGGTTGAGGACAAACATTGTTAGTGAAAAGTGAGTAGAACCTGCACAAAAGTGTCCAGGGTTGCCTGATAGTGGGCCAGAGCATCAGATACATCAGACACCAATAGTGATGCCAAGGGCTCAGGGCTGATGGATGAATGGAATCCAGGATGCTTTAGTTTGTAGTTCAACTTCTCAGAATCTCTGATGAATTTCTTATTATATCCCCCGAGACTGTACACACGTAACTGTCTGATGGCAGATGCATGAATATGACAACCCATTTGTTTCTGTATAGATTCTATCAGAGGTTAAACATAGACAAATGGTTGCTTTGTGAAAATTGCTCAGTTAATGTTTCATTCCAAGTTAATCTTAAAGGGAGGTTTGCCTATTTTTGAAGGGTGTCTTCTTAAATACTCATATCTCGAGTTTCCTAAGTGTAAGGTCTGTGAATAAAGCTGCTGACATTTTGTGAGAGGTAAATGACTGACTCCTCAACATTTTATAAAGCAACTATTTTCACCATCTTTTTGATATATTACTATTTAACTATAAGATTGAAATCTCAGAATAATCTCACGCCTGGGAGATTCCCATAAGAAGTTATATATTCTCTGAGTCTCTAGTAGGCTACCTTGACCTTTCATGTTTTAAACTGCAGCCCTTTTCCATCATTAGATTTTAAAGTTTTCAAAAATCTAGGGAGAAAGGGTTTTATTTCTCATCCTCCCTTACATTGCCTCTGGGCTGGGGAAGAAAGTAGGTAAAACAAAAGATTTTTGTTTGCCTTGAACCCAAAAGAAGTTCAAATGGAAGCCTCAAGTGCAATGACCTTAATGACTATTGCTCTTTTATCATAACGCTATGCTTAATAGTTCATAGAATATTCAGTTCAGCAGGGCACCATTTGAAACTTCAGACGGAGGACATATCTCTGTAGGGAAACTTACCTTTCCAGTGGGGGTAATTCCTTTATGTCTAAGGTTTCGGCAGATTGCAAGGGGGAAAAGCAGTGTTTGAGGATATCTTAAAGATGACCTAACTAATGATATATAATGAAATAAAGTCTACATCCTCCAATTTGTCCATATCAACCTGAATCAAACTGGGGTAACTGACAATTCAATT